CGGCAAAGGTGATTACGACGGCTCTAACGACGGCACCCACGGTACGATGTGGGTTCGTGGATATTCTTACACCGCCTCTATACAGTGCAGTGAACTTTTACGAGCTAACAAATAAGAAAGAACAATGCCGGGTAATGTTTGTCATTGGACCGCAAACGAACGTGAAGAATGAGATCACAAGCAAAGGTGTTTTACCACGTATAAGATATACGAGGGGAGGTCAAAAAGTTCGCGGTTTTGCGGGGTTGGCGAGGGTTAGTTTACCCATACAGGTAAGCGCTAGTTGAGTGGTTAATTTTTAGTATATATACCTTCTTCCAGCCTAATCGGGTCATTAACTTTTGAGTTATCAACGAGAAAACAAGTCAATCGGGAAGAAACTAGCCACCATAAAAAAAATTTAATATCGCGCCGTCATTATGTTTCTCACCAAACAAGGAAAGATACCTCAAACCATTTTTCAAGAGATGTCAGCTGTTTATGAGGACTGCGCTCCTGGGAAAACCACGATTTATAAATGGTACGCCCTTTTCAAACAAGGGAGGGACTCCATTGAAGACGACCCCCGACCTGGACAGTCATTTGAGGCTACCACGTCAGAAATAATCGAAAAAGTTGAAAAACTTGCAACGGAAGATGGCCGACTAAAGAAAAAACACTTTGGCATGACTAAAGTCTGTGCAAAATGAGTTCCGAGAATGCTTTCTGCGCATCAAAAACAAGTGCGTCGAAAGTTGTCGCGAGTTTTTGGACCGCCGTAGAGAGCAAAGAGTGGAAGTTATGGCCCGAATTGTAACTGGCGATGAAACTTGGGTTCACCATTATGAACTTGAGTCAAAGCAGGAGTCGATGCAGTGGCATAAAAAAGGCACACTCCCTCCAGAAGTATAAGGTGTCTCAATCGGCCGGAAAGATCATGGCGACGATCTTTTAGGATAAAGAAGGTATCCTTCTGATTGATTAAAGGAACGCGGTGTTTCCATAACGGGAGAGTACTGCGCTTCTTTACTAGATCAATTAAAAGAAGCTATTAAAGAAAAATGGCAAGGAAAGCTTACAAAAGGCGTGCTCATTTTGCACGACAATGCGCCCGTGCACACAAGCCATGTTGCGACGGCTGCCATTCACCGGTGCGGATTTGAACAACTGCGCCACCCACCCTACAGTCCAGAACTGGCTCCAAGCGACTATTATTTGTTTCCAAAATTTAAGAAAGAACTGCGTGGAAAAAAATTTGGTGACGGTGATGAAGTGAAGTCGGCAATTTCGGCCTATTTTGACGCCCAAGACAAATCTTTTTTTTGACGCTATTAATATGTTATTTGACAGATCTAATTTGCAGAGTTAAGGGAGAATATATTGAAAAGGAAAAATATTTTAATGTTTCATCTCATTATCCTTCCCTGTCATTCCGCGAAAGCGACCTCCTCTCGTAAAATGCTTATTTTATGGCCCTCAAATGATCGCTAATTTGTATAATTTACTCAATACAATATGGATAGTCATCAAGATTCAAACTGTGATTAAAATATAAATAAGCGCTCCCTTTATTGTAAACAAAAATATTACCACATAGCTAAATTGATTTGTTTAGGTAACTAATATTATTTTTTCAACTACGATGAACTTGCTGACGCTACGTGCAGTTACGCACACAAACACACGTGGCTTTACATACCTATACGTAGTCTGTACATTCGAAAGTGAAAAATGAGATAACAAGTACAGGTGGGTTGGCATTAATTTCTATAATTGTATAATTTCTTAATCAATAATATAATACGTTTATAATACGTCAATAATACGAGTAATATACTACGAAAGGAACTTCGTTCCAACCGAGTGTTCCACGACACTCACGCATGTTTTTTATTAGTCGTTTGTATTATTAGTCTGTATTTTACAATGAAGGTGTCTTCAAGCCAAGGGTGGATAGTACCACCATCTATCCTATTTCTGTCGTCAAACAGCAGTGCTGGGTTACAGTCTGAAAGGCTAATATAGGCAGTTAGTATAAATACAAGCTTTGAGGCTTTCCATCTTTGTTCCGTCTTTATCATCATCATCATTACGGCCCTTCACAAGTCCACTGATGAACATAGGTTAATCAAGGAATGCCACAAAGCACGGTACAGGACCACATTCTAACATAATACCAACGTAAAATAGCAGTTTAGTGATGCTGATGTTTCGTATGGTGAGTGTAAAGGACCGGCGACCCTTTTTTATTGGAAACGAGGCATTCTTAGTCTACAACAAATTTCGATTTCAAGATTCGTAGTCAGACAACGCAACTGTATTCTGACTATTTGTCACTCTTTCCTCATTCATTCTTTCTACGTGTCCAAACCACAGAAGCATTCCTTTCTTGATCCTGGTCACTACATCTTACAAACAACACTCTTGCCTTATCAGATTCTTAGCGCATCATCCAGTCAAACCTAACATACTTCTTCACGATACCATCCTCACCATTTGGATGCTTTGCGGTTCACCACTGTACGTTTTACAAGGAGTTTTCTTCCTCGTACAACTTTTCTGTGGAATTGTTTACCACCGGCGATTTTTACGGACCGATATTACTTAAGGACCTTCAAGAAATGAGCTTACACCTTTTTAAAAGGTCAGCAACGCATCTGCAATTCCCCTGGTGTTGCGGTTGTTCATGGGCGGCGGTAGTCACTTACCATCAGGTGAGCCGTATGCTCGTTTGCCCCCTCTCTTATATAAAAAAAAACTTCTTTTATTTTGCAAGCAATGCTATTGAACATTACTAATGTTCCCTTTCACCACTCCTGGTAAGCTTAAAATGCTTGTGTTAGGAATAGTCCACGACAAAAGTTGAATGGATTCGAACCCAGGACCTTTTAAGTTCGCGGTCCGCATCCTACCATTAGGCTACTGTCGCTTTTAATTCTTAATGACTGCAATTCTACAGCATTTATTCTACTCTCGTGCTTCTTCTGCCACACCCAACTTTCACTACCATACATTAAGGTAGGGCCTAACAGAGCACTGTGAATTGCGATTTGCGCCTTTTTTACCACATTCTGACTTCCCACAATAGAGTGAAGAGCAATCACTCTTCGTTTTAAATCCTATTAGGAAACTCAACAGATTTTAACCGACTTCAAAAAAAGTAGAGGAGACACTCAAATCGATTGTATTTTTTGTTGTGTGTTACCTCAGAACTTTTTTCTAGGTTAACCGATTTTGATGATTCTCATTTTATTTTTGATCTTGTTTTTATCTCATGTGATCCCATATAAATTTGATCCAGTTCTGACCAGTAGTTTTTGAGTTATAGATAGATAATAGATAACTCTTTATTGCATTTATACAAAGTGTTACAATGACGGAATAACTTAAGAACTACAAACGGTGGTCATATCGCTTTAAGCGATTTCTACCTGACAAACCGAACGTAATAGGGAACAATGTAATATATTTTGACGGATAGGTGCAACGTGCAATATAAAATGAAACTGAGGACAAAAACTTATAATTAAACACGATTTATATAAATATATGAATTATATAATATATAATATTATATATTTAATAAACATAAATAAATAAATATATACATATATACATACATATAGATAAATATAAACATATATATATACACACATACATACATATATATATATATATATATATATATATATATATATATATATGCAGATAAAATTAAGCAAAAAGAAAAAAAAAGACAAGTATTTATAAAAAGAGGAAATGCATATAATTTATAATTATGACGGGAAATTCAAATAATACTCCTTCAGTTGTTTTTTTAGAGTTTATTTATTTATTTATTTATTTATTTATTTATTTAGAAAACCAACAGCGTATATAGAAAATATTAACATTAATGTAACAAACTAAAAGTATGGCCAATAACAGGTTTCCCTTATATTGTTTGATGGTAGGTGTATTGTTGTTAGAAGAAAAGGAAAAAGAACAATCTAATAGATAAATTATAAGCAAAATTATAAGCAATTCAATGTAATGAAGGTGGTCATAAGTTTACAGATCAGGAGAGATAGTCAGGTAGAATGATATATTAGATTACCTTTATATATATATATATATATATAAATATATATATATATATATATATATATATATAAACATATAAGATATATATATATATACATACATATATATTTACTTATGTATATATACATATTAAATGTTTAAATATATAAACATAATACAAATAATTAATTATAATATATATTAAATAAAATAACTTAAGTACTTATATTTATATTAGTAGCCTCAAAAATACATATAGAAGAAATAGATGAGAGAATATATGATTGTATGTGAATTTAACTTCAACTGCTCTATTTCGTAATAGTTTTCTTGATGTAATCTTTAAACGTAAGTTTAGATTTCGCAAAGAGGTCAATGTGTCCAAATTGTTCATTATATGTACGAGCAAGCCGCGAAAGAACAGTGTTTCGAGAGTAGTTTGAATGATGCCAGGGAGTCTGTAACAATGTAGTATTGCGGGTACGGAATTTTGGAGTACGAAAGGTGATTCTTGAGACAAGATATGGACAGTCAATATTACTGTTTATTATATCATATAACAAAGCCATGTCAAGCAAAATGCGCGGGTAAGGCTCAAATTTTTTGCGCAGTCGCACAATGGAAACTACAACGGAATGTGTCACAAAGAGAAAAACGTTGTACAACGGAATTTGTAAAGTGTAGTGCACATGAATTGTAAAATATTTTTGTACATTAACTGTTTGTTTTAATTTTATTTAAAAATCAATATTAATAATTAAGTATACTTACGTCACTACTAATAGGTAACGGCTACCTAGAATAATATACCAATCGAAATAGTGACGAAATAGCCCATTACGATTGCATAGTGCGAGATGGCGGACCTGATCCTGTGACCCGGGCACACCCTGGACGTAAGTACTTAATTACCTACATGATTATTGGGGTATACTATTAAATAAAACTAATATAATATACAATATTCAAAAACATTTATTAAAAAACAGTCTAGATGAGATAATACAAGATGTCACTAACATTATCGAAAAATGTAATATATTGAGAGTTGTATACTCTTAAATTTTAAAAATATATTTCGTCACAATCTTCAGTTAAACTGTACTCTCCTAATTTCTCAAGTGCAGTTAATTTAACTTTTTTAACAATTGAAACGTTGGTAACAATGTCAAAATCTTTGTTTTTCGGTATTTTTATGAATTTTATATTACTATCTTGTTCTTTAATTGTCTTTAGAAAATGAACTTCATAAAAAGTGTCATCATCTTTGATTTCAATCTTATCAATAAAGCCTACGTAATACTTCCAGCTCTTTCTTTGGTAGTATCTTACTAATATACTGTCACTTATTTTATATAGTTCAGGCACATCTGTGTCTTTATCTTTTGAACTACATGAATCCGGATTAGCATGTGTGATATTTTCTTTCTCATTTTGAGAACACAAATTAAAATTAGTACAGTCTATTGGGGTAAGCGTTAGTGGACCGTAATTACTTAAGTTAAAATAAGCTTGATTTTCAGGTGTAAATCGGACCTCAGATAAAACTTTCACTTTGCTGTTTCTATTTGTCTCATACACTATTTCTGTCTCTATTTCTCCTGTAGTCATCTCGTCATCAAAACTTGTGTAATCATCGTCAGTATCGGCGTATTGAATCTCACTAGTATCAGTATCTTCAGAAGTTGTGTCTGATTCCTTATATATCTTCCTAGCTCTTTTACTTGAATTTATCTCCTTCTTTATCTTCTTTTTTTTAGTTCTCGAGTCACTTTTCTTACAGGAAACTTTTATTGGTTTTTGTTTAAAATTATGAACTTTAGGTGAAAAACATTCACAGGCTCCTCTTGCGCAAAAACAACTTAATGATCTGTACTTGATAACACGTTTATCGTCTGTAGCAATTATCTGATGGATTTTCATAGTGTTAGGAACTGGTTGTATATTTTGAGGATTTTCCACCTTTTTAATACTGTCTTCAGTAACGTAAAATAATTTTATGGTTGTATCAGCTTTCGACAAAACATCAAATGCAGATTTAGCATCAACTATGTCCTCACCATAAGAGACTCTACAATCTAAAATTCTTTTGATGGCTCCGCCCACACCATCTGCTGCGCCTTTTCCGTGGGAAGCCTCAAAAAAGGACCACGTTGCTTGAACAAATCCATCTTCCTTCGTTTTTTCACCAAACAGCCAAAAATTTTTCTTCTGCCGGTACTGTGTCGTAGGTCCGTCCGAATAAAAATGAACACAGTTAATAGCGGGGTACTTTTCTTTAAAAAAAAATATTACAGGTTCTAAATGGCCCCATATAGCCTGAGGGTCGTGCTTAAGTGACGGGGAAACAGAACAGAAAGATATAGGTTTTTCATTTTTTACATACGCAACTCCAGTATGCAAAGTAATTTGTTGCCTTGAGCCTGCAAAGTGCACATAGACTGCACTTCTTTAGCCATCTTACACGAGTAATTTTCGGAAAAATCGCAGTGTATGATGATTTCATTGCACTTTATATTTTCTATGGCTTCTTTGTATTGCTTGTGCTGGTGATAAATATTAAAATGATGATATTTAAATTTCACAAGATCTTTTTGAATCATATCAGCAAGTGTATTTAACGTACCTATTTTTTCTTCTTTTACAGTTTTTTTTGTAGTTTTGCGTGCATTTGATTTTCCATACTCATAATTTTTAGTGGTCCATTCAAGCCAGGATACTTCTTGAGTATCTGTTGCAAAAGCAAAACTAAGTTTTTTTCCATAGCACACTGTACATTCTGAATACATGCAGCTTTTTGATTTAATATCGCAAACTATTTTAGAAATCAAGTCATTTGGATCAGCAGACGATATTAAGCCTAACTTCTTGAGAGTTTGAGCTTTGAAAGCTAAATTAGCATGCTTGATACAAGCACACGTGTTGCGATTACTTACATGCGGAGATACAACGTAAAACGGACGATAGCGCTTGAAAGAAGCAAAAGACAAAATTCCACCTTCACTTCTATATATCTTATACAAGTTCGATAAGGTATTTAGCAAAAATCGTTTCTGTTTTTTAATCTTCTGACGAGTGACACATTCTTTTTTACCAGCTGTCATACGACTAATGTCGTCTCTTTCAAAGAATTTTGTAAGTTCTTTAGCTGTCCTGATTTTTTTCTGCTTAATAGAATAATAATGGCGTATACCTCGCTTCAGTCCCAAATATTTTCTTATTTTAAATTGCATATTATATTTCTTGACTGACTCACTGACAAGAAGTTTCTTTAAAACGTTTTTTTCTTCGTTTGATTTACTATCATTGTAGGTTTCTTTTAAAGACTCTTGCAGAACACGAGTTTCTAATAATTTCTTCCTTATCTGAAAGCATGAAATAAAATAAGTTTAGGTGTAAAATTGTGTTAAAGCGCAATAATTGACAACTTAATTATTAATAAAATTAAGTATATATTTTTTTAGACTATTACATTTTTATTGTTTAATTAATTTAATTAATTTTTTGATTCCTGATTGGTAATAAATGACAAACTATAAAAGATTTACCTTCTGTTTAGATTCTACAGATATATCAGGAATTTCTTCTTCTATGTATTTTTTTAAAGGGGTAGTAGGGGATTTTGTAGGTTCGACTGTATTTTCTGTTTTAAGTTGATTCAATTGGTTGGTGAGAGTATTAATTTTTTTTCTGTATCTTAATATAGTTTTCTTAAGACTGCCATTTGTCACACATAAGTTTTTATTTTTTTCCTTCAAAATCCTGTTTTCACGTAGTAATTTACTACGATATTTGCGACGTTGCCTATTATCATTATTGGGTACGACTAGCTTTTCTACCTTTTCGTCTTTTTTATTGCGTTTAGCATCCCGCCATTTCTTTCTCATCGCCAATTTTTCATCTTCACTCATATTCGCTATTTTTCTTTTTTTAGCCTTTGTTCTCTCAGCATTCTTCTTTTTCATTAAATCATATTTTTCTGGATTAGATTGTCTAAGATTTTCGCGGTACCTTCGGCACCTTTCAGCCGCGGACAAAGGCATCTGAAAAATATTCATTATCAAACCATAGAAAAAAAAAATACGCAAGCACTTTAGTATGATTTCATAAATTGAGTAGAACGTTAATAGGTACACAGCTTTATGATTTCCATTGCAACACGTCACACAATTTCGTGTCATACGTCGCACAATGGATCAAATATTCTACACAACTTAGCCTAAAAAAAATCATAATTCATGAAATTTACTATATTGCTCATTCTAATTGTTATATTTTGACAATTAAATACATGATAGATATGATTAACTATCTTAAATCAGGAAAACCATTTAAATTTCGAAAATATAGCAAAGTAAACTTACAATTTCTTAATGACACGTAGCGAGTTCCGACACGTTCGTCCATCTGACGCAAAAACGAAATGGCGGAAGCATCCAGAAGTTAGTCGAATTTCATGGGTCTGTGTTGCCACTTTAAATATATTGGATATTCCATTGTAGATTATAAATAAATCCCAAATCAGCGTTGCACAACTGAAGTGTCACACTGGATTGAAATTTAGGACATTTTGAAATTAATAAATATATAATCAAAACGCGTTGATAATATAATTAGCTTATTTTAGTAAAATTAAACCTTTCATATTCTGCAGGCCATAAAATATGCAGACTAATAAAACAGTGGTTTCTCAAAAATTTCTAATAGTTTTTGAAAAGTGTACGTACACGGACATCAACAAATTGTATGGAAGGAAAATATGAACATTTTTATTTTTAATTATAAAATAGGGATATTATGGAATAATATTTAATTAAAAAAACAAACACGATGAGTAAATAGCTAATTTCTTTGAGTTAATAATAAAAACAAAGTATTTATTATTTTAGATATTTTATTTCTTCTCTTCAATTTCTCGGACAGCGCATTTTTAGATAGTGCGCTAAAAATTTGAGCCTTACCCGCCTGTGTTCCAGAGATAAGAGATCGTGCTCAGTGCAACTGTCTGTGTAAGTATCGATTTTATTCCGACAGCGAAAGTTAAGGTGATTAACAAATATTTTTTGAATACGCTCAAGGCGGCTTTTGTAGACATTGTACTGTGGAGACCATATTGAACTAGCATATTCCAAAACACTTCTGACATATGCAAAATAAACCATTTTAATTGTATTAATTTTCGAGAATGGTTTACAGATGCGAAGAACAAAACCAAGATTTTTATAGGCTTTACTGATAACGTAATCAATGTGTTCGGATAGTATCATTTTATGATCAAAAATTACGCCTAAATCCCTAACACTTACTTTTCGGCTGATTTCTATTCCGTCAAAGTGATATTTATTTAGAATTGGCTTAGATTTCCGTGTAAAACTAATACATTCGCACTTGCTTGCATTGACAGTTATATTATTTATTTTGTAATATTCAAATAAACGGTCCAGGTCTTTTTGTATCAATAGGCAGTCATGTATGGTGTTAATTTTACAAAAAATCTTCTTATCATCTGCATACATGAGGTAATTTGTGTGTATAATGCACGAACCAATGTCATATAGGTAGGCATTGTAAAAAAGTGGACCTAAGTGAGAGCCCTGAGGAACACCTGTAGGTATGTTTATGTAGCTCGAACGGAAACCACCTATCACGACTGCTTGTGAGCGGTTTGTGAGATATGATTCAGTCCATCGGAGCAAGTCACCGTGAATCCCTAATATTTGTAATTTGTTGAGCAGGATCATGTGATCCACACGATCGAAAGCTTTTTCAAAATCAGTGTAGATCACATCAACCTGCCCACCTTGATCCATATTTTCAAGGACAAAAGAAGAAAAACTTGCCAGGTTCGTAGTGGTGGATCGCCTTTGTAAAAAACCATGTTGCTGCTCAGGGAAGGCACGTGAAAGCGTGGAGTAAATTACGTTATATACTACTCGTTCAAGGATTTTAGCCGCGGTGTTCAAAATAGAAATGCCTCTATAATTATTTATTTCTGTACGTGATCCCTTCTTGTGTACAGGGATTATGTGTGCAAACTTCCATTGATGCGGAAATATCCCTTCACGTAGAGAGCGATTAAATATAATAGTCAAGGGGAGAGCAAGTGATTTAGCGCATCGTGACCAAAAAAAAGAAGGTAACCCATCACTACCGGCACCTTTGTTCGTGTCCAAAGTTTTCAACATTTTTTCAATTATTGCAGCGTTTGTCTGTACATTAGAAACGGTGTCAGTATACAACGATTCCGTATGTGGATATATGTAGTTATTACTAGGAATACCAAATACACTCTTGAAGAATGAGTTGAAAGCATTGCATATGTCTATACCATCGGTGTACTCTATATCTTTCAAAGACATTTTCTTAGGGTAACCTGACCCACCCCGAATGGCTTTGACGAAAGTCCAGAATGTTTTAGGATGTGTTTTGATGCTATTTTCACAACTTGACGTAAATTTATTAAAGCATTCTCTCTGAACACGGTGTTCTCTTGCTCGGAGTAACGAAAACTCATCGTAATCTAATCTATTCCTGAATTTTTTCCAACGTGTGTGAGCATTGTTTTTCTCCTTAATTATTTTTATTAAAGCAGGTGTGTACCATTTAGGATATGATCGCTTCCCTGTGTTATAACTAAAGGGCACATGTAAACGAACACAACTATCCAGTATGTTATAAAAGGTATTTGTAGCTTCGTCTACAGTGCCTGTACATAAAAGAGACCTCCAGTCCTGTTCTAAAAGATATGTATTAATTTTTTCATAATCAGCCCTCCTGAAATTTCGCCTTGGCGCAGCTGATTCGCGTAGAGGAGTAATGTTTAAATCCAAAACTATGAAGCAAAAAGAAGGATGTGCGTGGTCCTCCCTGAGTAGCGGCGCAGCCGCAGGGATGATATTCAGAGGTAGATTAGAGAATGCAAGATCTAATGTGTTACCAGCATGATTTTTTAAAGTATTAAATTGTCTTAACCCGTGAAATGTTAGTGTTTCCATCAGCTGGATACTCGCTTCTTGTACCTCAGTAGGCCCTTTTTTCAAAGCTGTATATCCGTTTGGGTTCCAAGAAATGAACGGCAAGTTGAAATCTCCTAATATTACAAAATTATCATTTGGAGAAAGCTCGATAATACTATTAATTTTTTGTTTAATAAAAACGAGATCCGATGGCATTTGATGAAGGTCAGGGGCAATATATGCCACACAAATATGTAAGTTGGAATTTGAAGCGCACGCGCTTGAAGGAATAGTAATCCACAATAGCTCAGTAAGACCGCATACACCGAGGTCACGATACATGGCACCGAGTGTACGTCGTGTCAGTATTAATACTCCACCACCAGTACTTTTACCACTATTACGCAAATCTCTGTCAGCCCTGAACACGTCATACCTATCGTCGCACAACTCACCATCAAAAATTCCACTGTGTAGCCATGATTCTGTCATAATTATAATGTCGTAATCGTTCGTCAAAATATTTAGTCGTAATTCAAGACATTTAGTCCTAAGACCACGAACATTCTGATAATAACAGTACAAATTATTTACATTATTTACAGCCATTAATCAAAATCAAATATGTACCCAAATGTGTTAAATATATAGTACTTTAAAGCTACACAGAGTAACAGAACTAATAATTTGTTTACGTTAGACTTAAGTAGTACGAACAATGATATATCACTTCGGCAGTTGCTAGTTAATAGTGACTTGATTTTTTGTATAAGGTGGTAGAGTATAAAATTTATCAATAAGATATAACAGAATGAATCCTTAAATGATTTGAGTAATATAGTCGAGCAACATAAAAGGGTGCGAGCTTATAAATATGCAGAGCAGTTATTAAATATATATATAAATATCGCGAATGTAACAATATAGACGTGTTAAGTATTGTTGTTAGATTTAATAAATAAATATTGAACGGGTAATTATTATGAATAATAACAATATAATAGATGAATTCATAGATTGACAAAGTAAAATAAATTAATACATAATATACAAGACGCCAGAAAAAATATAATTGGTATTTTATTAAATATAAAGGATATAGTAAAAGAAACCATAATATATATATAGTTGAGTAACGTTCGTGAAGAATATGGATGCAACTTAGCTGCACAATTATCGCGCGTGTGACTAATACACTTAAGACCAAAAATATTTCATTAATTGAGCTCCCTTTACGTGCGGTCAAACAATGATATATAATATAGACAAAATGAGATAAGAGAGACCAATGAATTGCTTTTACAACGATGGAATTGATAAATTTAAGCAATATAACGTACTTGAAAATAGAACAAAACAATATACAATGTAAGATTAAATTAATTTTAAAACGTCTCTTTCCTGTGATATATGCAAAGCCGGAGATGTGTCGTTCTTCCTGACGTAGATCCTCCCGTTTTTTGTCCACACATATTGATACTGCTTAAGTTTCGCCGTCTCCCTACATTTCTTTAGTAGAAGTTTATTGCACTGTGTAAGATGCTCATTGACATATACGGGACGAACGCTGCCATGTATGGCAAGGTCTTTGGTGGTCAGTCGGTTTTTTCGAGTGCCAGAGATTATGTTGTCCTTTAGAAGACGGGATTTAAGCTTTGCAATTATATTTTTCGGGCGGCCCTGTTGTTTGATTTTCGGTGTGACACGATTAACTTCTAATATATCATTAGGGGAAATAGTTACATTAGACTGCTTAGCAATGGATATAATTAAATTGGTTAAGTCTTCATCCTTGATTTCAGGAACGCCGACGATCTCTAAGTTCAAAAGGCGATCTCTTTGATTATTTGTGTTAATTTCCAATTGTAATAGTCTGTTTTCGTTGGTCAATAAGTCCATTTTAGATTCTAGTGATTCGATTGCTTTTTTGTTAACAGATAATAATTCCATTTTCTTTTGAACATGGTCATATTGGTCGCAATTGAATTGTACAGAGTTTTCTAAAACTGTGATTTGCTTCATTGTCTCGTTGTACTTTAGGTCAAGAGATATGACCGACTTTTTAATCTCGTGATATTCCTGACGGACGCTGCTTAGTTCCGACATGATCTCAGCAAAGGATGCATTTAGTTTCTCAAGATCGGTTTTTAATACGAAGTCTAAATTATTTTTAATTCCTGATATTTCATCTTGAATTTCCTTTTTCCAGTCATGTAATGTTCTACGTATCTCAGAGGTAAAATTATTGAGAGCCTCTGAGAAGTCGTTGTCGTGTTTATGCTTTCGAGTAGTCATATTGCTAGGCTCACCTGATTTATTGATGTCAGGGTTGGAATTGTAAGGCTTGCGTGGCGTGGAATCTTTCCTTATATGAGATAATACACAATCTGCCACTTTCTGATTTGGTTCGGTAAACATCAAAATCCGGCGGTGTTCACGAAAATGTCCGTTTTTCACTCCTAAAATTTTTTCGTGAAATTTGTGCTTATAGAAATTTACACCACTGTATAAAGCATCTTTTTTCGCATCAAATGTATAATTATATATAAAATAATATTATAATAAATAGTTATTTTAATATATTTCAAAATATGGACAATTGTCACCAGGGCCGGTCAACTTCCTAATAGCAGATTGGCACCAGGAGATGACCTTGGGGGGCTTTAAAGAAGCGAGATGGAATAATATCTATCTCCCTCGCACGTTATGTTATATTGCCATGAAAGAAATATTATTTTAAATGACACATCATTTTAATCATTTTTTTATTTAATAATTATAATACTTTATTATATAATATATTTCGTTA